GAAGCGAATGGATTGGCGAACGCAACTTAAATATGCATTAAGAGTGTTCTCTTGTACCAGCTTGTGCAAGTTCTTTGCATCGCGAATACTCTTAATGCCTAGTAGTTTCCGAATACCTTAGCATATAAAACTCAATTCTTTCTTAAGTAGACTTTGGTGGTAATTGCTCATGGCCACAAATTTAATCATTTAAAATGGACTAGCTAGAGGGATGGACTTCAGTACGAAAGCGAATGGTGCAATTGGTAGTGTATTGGCATAAAGGCCACATTCTATTTCTCCATTATTATAAATTTTTTGTGCTGTATATTCATGATAAATCAAGCTTTATGTTAACCTAGCGGCGGTATTTTTTACCCATGATTAAATTATTATTATTATTATTCATTATTGAATCATGTTTTTTTACCTACGAGATCAGTGCCAAAACTGAAATATTCAAAATTGTTTGTTTGCTCTTCGTGAACTGTTTCTTTATCAAAGGATGCTCGCATTGTTTCGTGTAAGCAGGAATATGACTAATATATTTATGTATTTGAAATTTAAAAATGTATATTTATATGGATGTATGTTTATTATTGCAGCCGACGTTGATCCGAGGGAGTAGTCGCTGCTTATTAGCGGAAACTAGACGATTTAGCGCCAGTGCAGTCGGAGGTCCTGAAAAAGGTGGTAAAAAATCGGTTTCTTGCGGCCCAAGTGCAGGTCCCTCGAAGAAACCTAATCCTGGCTTTGAGAAAATTAAACAACTGCAAATGCATTTTCAAAAAAATGACGGCAAACCGATACATCTCAAGGGTGGCAGCAGAGATTTGATGCTGTATCGTGCAACATGGGGTTTGGCTTTGCTCGGACTACTACTGCAATTCCATTTTTTTGCAATGTATATCATTTACTGAAATCGGCATTTTTTTAATAAATGTTTGCTTAATTGTAATGAACAAAAAATAAAAGCGAACATTTACATGTTGATATTAAATAATATAATTTAATTTTCATATTATATATTTTCACGATATGCTTTTCGTCTTATCATCAACATCCAGTTTATCGATGACCTGTTTTAGACAGTCTTTGGTTGATACTCGCTCTAGGTCGCAAATACGTGTCAAGTCCATTGTAGAGATTTGTTCAATCATTTCCTTAATTCGTTCTTGTTTTATAATGGCTTTAACCGATTGGCGCGTTCCAGGCGCGACACCAATGTTGGGTCGTTTCTCCACTTTTTCTGCAGAATTTTCAATTTGGCGCCCCTTTGAGCGGTAATGCTGTTCGATTAGCTGTCGAATTTTCAGTTTCGTTGCCTTAGTTTTTCGATTCACTTTACCCAGCGCAAGATTGCGAAGTTCTTGAAAATTTATTTCTTT